CCTAGGTTGTTGGGAAACACAGACAAAGCTGTTGGGAGGCTTGGAATGTACTCAGGTAAAGACTCACACTAAGAGAATGGCAGTGAGGAAGAGGAGGAGGTGGACTTGAGAGACAGTGAATAGGTAGAATTACCAGGAGTCAGAGGCTGCCTTGGATTGAATTTCATCCTTCAGAAAGATCTACTGAAGCCTCCACCCCCAGGACCCATGACTGTGTGACTCTATGTGGCTATAAGGTCTTTGCAGATATAATGAAGTTAAGATAAGGTCACACTCAGAGTAACTCCTAGATCCAATATGACTTGTGCCCTTATAAGGAAAGAAGAGACACAGAGACGCAGGGGGAATGTCCTGTGGTGACAGAGACAGAGATTGGAATGTTGCAGCTACAAGCCAACAAACGCCAAGATGACCTGAAACTAAGAGAAAGCATGGGGCGGACTCTCCCCTAGAGCCTTCCGAGTGGGCACGGGCCCGGCCGGCATCAGGTTTCTGGCACCTACCTCCAGATGTGTAAGGGAATGCACTTCTTTTGTCCCGAGCCCCGCAGTTTGTGGGACTTCAAGGCAGCAGTAGGAAGCTAGTACAGAGACTGGGTGGTGTGAGTCATCAAGAAGAGCGAGGAATCAAAGATGTTTCGACATGGCAGGGGTCACCAGCTCAGTGTCTGACATCGTAAATCACTGCCCACAGTCCAGTCCATCTGTTTGGATATGTCCATTTTGCATTTAGGAGAATCTGAGATTAACAATAGCCTGGAAGTATGAGTGTGTCTGTCTTGAGAAATGTTAAAGTCACTTACAAAATGTCTGTATTCAGACTGGAAAACCTTCATTCTCTCTACAGTGAGAGGGACTCGACTCTGTGGCAGAGACAGTAGCCTCTCTGCGGCTATAGCCCCACAACCAACATGATGAGTTCTGGAATCTAGGTGCATTTCCCACCCAATCCTGAGCTGAACCCGAAGCTGATGGGGGTCTGCTCTGGCTCTCTGGGCCCTGTGTGACCCAGGCAGCAGAGCACCCCAGAGTCTGTGGACCACAGTGCAGGACGAATGGGTGGCGGGGACTGGAATGGGCTTGCCCCTAGCCAGGGTGCTGTGGACAACACATAAAGGCACGTGAGAACTGAAGTAAGCCCAGTGAGTTCAAGCATTTTGTTCTATAGGAAAGGGAAATCAGACCCAGAGAAGTGGTTTATTCAAGGTCACAAATGATTAGTTTCAGAGCTAGCACTGGAAAGTACTGTTTTCATTACAGCATTTCTGATGTCTTTTTCAGCCTTTAAATCCTATGCTTATAAAAGCAATTTATAAGTAGAATGGGTGCTAGAAGTTCCTAAATAGCGCCAAATACCAAACATTGCTATTTAAAGAACTAACTGGAATTCATCAATCTCACAATTCAGAGGCCCGGCATTAATTTTGTGCATCGGGGCACAGCATTTGCAGATCGGTCAGACAGCCAGCGTCTTCCGAACTTCAAGAGCATTCAAGAACACTGACAAAAATCCCTTTATTACAAACGTCTACAGCTGGATTTTCACTAGTGTTCCCTGCTCCACGGCAATCAGGTTGGCTGAAAATCTCCCCCCACGTGCCCCCTCCTTTCCCGGCTCCACAGGGAAAACGAACATGGTGGCGGCAGCCTGGCCCTACCGTCCATACCTTGAAATTGTGAAAAATAGCAGCTTGTCACTTTCTCAGCTGATGTGTTCACTGAAAATGAGCTTCCTTTAAACTGACCACAAGCAGGCTCCAGGGTCCAAGCTGGACTCGGAGTGTGTCTGACAGGTGAAGAGAGGGGACTAGAGTGGGTAGGACTGCAGGTGCAGCCACCTGCCAGCTGCCGGCTGCCAGCTCCAGGTGTGATCCCAGACCGAGGCTGCACAGCTGCCGAAGCTGCCAGCTTCCTCCCCCAGAGAGTCCGGGGCCAGGGAGGCAGTGGGCTCCCGTGCCTGTTCCCACCTTCTTTCCTCTCCTCTCTCTTGGATCATCCCATTTTCCCTGCCTTTCCTTTTTCTTTGTCTTCATTCTTACTATTTCTTCCCCTCTTCTCTTGCTGTCTCTTTCATATTTTCCCCTCTACCATACGTTTACCATTAATGCTCAACCCCAACCCTGGTCTATTACTGGATGCATGGAAAAAACATCACTTTAAATCAGTATAAGTCAATCGTTTCACCACCTCAAAAAGACTAGTCTCATCGTAATGAACAGGTCTGTCCTTTCCTCCAAAAAGGCTGCAGTGGGTTCCAGCGTCCATGGGCTGGCCACTGGGAAATCGCCAGCCGAGGAGGACACGCCAAGCTCCATAAAGGAAGCCTTGGCACCTTTGTGTCCATGCATCAGGATCATCAGAATTTTCTAATAGTAAGTCTTAGCTCCATTCTCAATGGAGAGGGAAAATTGAACATATCCTTCCACTCCCAACATCTAGAATGAGTAGAAATACTAGATAAAATAAAAAAATATATAACTATATGCTAATAAACATATGTCTGTATGTCTGCCATATAACAGCCAAATTCAAGAGAAAGAAATTAAGTCTTGAGAATAAGACCTTTAAGAACCCAGCTAGGAGCAGGCACTGAAGCCCTCGGGTGCATGGGGAGGAGACATTTCCCTCAGAACGAAAGCCCCGGAGAGGGAGCTCCAAGCCCCCACTCAGCTGGCAGTTGGAACCAGATGCCCTGCCTGAAGCCAGGGTTGAAAACGCCAAGTGCCACCCCAGAGGAGTGATCACGAAATTCAACGCAGAAGCTGTAAAGCTGCTAGCTTTCCTTCCGATCGCCATTGATGCTGATGCAACCACAACTCTACTAATGCGCCCCGTTCGGAGGCTTTCATCTCGGCAGATGGCAGAGGGAATCTTGCAGGGGAGTCTGCTTTATTCTGAACGTTGGATTTCATGTTAACAGATAAGCACTTAGCAGAGAAATAAGGCTATTGGTTCCTAAAGACGAATCTCCGGAATTTTGCTTGGAATCAATCCTTTTTCTGTTTGCCAAAACCTGCAGACAGAGTCATATACATCCAACAGCCACCTCTGACTGGTTTTTATGGATGTAAGTCAACAGCCCCATTGTTGGCAGCACATTAAGAGACACTCGGCTAGAAAAACTGGCTGCTTCCCTCCTCTGTGGAGGCATCTGAGCTTTCGCTGAGGGTTGTGAAGTCTTAACAGAGGAGCAGCAGCGCAGCGGGCAATTCGGGCCCACTTAGTTTTTGCAGCACGTGTGCGAACAGCTGCCTCTTACTTCTATTCTGACCCTTTCCACCCCCTGGGGACCCACCCCCAGGACACTGACCTGAGAAAGTGGAGGCCTCCCCTTGCCATCCAGGTCACTGAAATGTGGATTCACAATGGGTTTGTTCATTTCCTCTGATTGTAAGGCCTTCATTTGTCTAGAATTTTAGGAGTTTACAAAATAGTTTCCCAGGATAACCCAGTTCCTATAAGATAGGTAAAAGAACCAATGTGACCATCCACTAAAGTGAAGGTCAGGGAGGCTTGGTGACTTGCCCAGAGCTCCAGGGAAGACCTGGGGCTGGGATCCAGGCTTCTGAGCCACTACACCGCGTGACAAGTGGCCTCTCCTGCCCATCGCCATTTTCCTGATCTTGACACTGATTGACTTTGGCTCTCCTGCACTCTTTTTTTTTCCCCAAATGCAGTAAAATATACATAACATAAATGTGACCATTGTAACCATTCCAAGTGTAGAGTTCAGCCATATCACATACACGCACGTTGTTGTGCAGCGTCCACCACCATCTCCCTCCAAACCGAAACTCTGTGCCCATGGAACGATGACTCCGCCCCCACACCCCACGCCCCTCACAGCCACCAGTCACATTCTGTCTCTGTGAAGGTGACGACTCTAGCTGCCTAATATAGGTGGGATCATACACTATTTGTCCTTTTGTGTCTGGCTTATTTTACTGAGGATAATATTTTCAAGTTTCATCCATATTACAGCATGTGCCAGAATGTGAATAATTTTTAAGGCTGAATAATATTGCATTGTATGTATAGTCTGCATTTTGTTTATTCATTCGTCTGTTGACTGGTGCCCTGAACCTTTATCTCCTTCTTTGAGAAACAGCACTTCAATTTTCCTTAAAGAAGGCACCTCTTCCCATGGAGAAAGCCTGTTGTAAGTATTAATTAAGATGTTCGGGGCTGAGAACAATCCAAGCAGCTGTTCTCTCCCAGAATCTGAAACTCAAGCAACATGGTAAAGAGAATAAAAATGCAATGGGCTTTTAGAAAAATACAGCTATAACTAGGCAAGATGGAGCAGTAGTTCTGGCTACATAGAGATGTTCCAGTTCTGATTAATTCTCAAGCTTTCCCTTTGATTATGTGTCTTGCACTACAGCCAGTATTGGGTCCTGTGACTGGAAACCAGGAAACTCTAACGGTCATTAAAACCAAACGAAGACTACCCCATTTCCACAGCCTCCATTCTGCTATGGGCATGACTTTTCCCCTTAAAGAATTCATTCAATGTAGATTTTTACATTATTTACCTACATGGATTTGTGGGGACAGGGTACAGAGTGTAGGGGGTAGGGAGAAGGAAAAAAATAGAAGTTGTTGCCAACTATTTGTCCTATGGATGAACTTGAATTTCCTTTTAAAACCTAGTTATCTTCACTACGGATTATTTTATGTCAAACCTAAGCCTAATGTATAAGGACTTAATTGTCAGTATTCAGAGGCTATGTCATTCTCTCCAATCTGGTCGCTCCAAATTCCTTGGGGGTCATTGAAATGTACTTTATAGGGTGACCTATTCCCAAGTGCTCTGCATCACCAAATCCCAACAATCATGCTTTTGTTTGCACCAAAAAAAATAAAGCTCCATTTCTTTCAAAATATCCAATTATTCAACAAATAATTATTGAACACCTAAAATACACCAGCCACGAGACTAGGTTCTGGGGAATTGGCCTGGAACAGGAGAAATATGCTCTCTGCCCTTGTGAAGCTTACCTTTCCGTGGGAGGGACCAAAGGTAATCAATCAGGCAAAACTCTGAAATTCTAACTCAGCTAAGTGCTCTGAGCAGCTTTGAAGCGGGATGTGCCCTGGTCAGGGATGCAGGAAAGGCTTGCCCTAGAAAAGGTGAATGAAATGAGTATTAAAAGGTAATGGGAATAAGTAGGAGTAAGCGGAAGAGTGAGTACGGGGGGAGGGAGGGTGCCAGCAGAAGAACAGACAGTACAGACCAGACTGCTGTGTTTGGAGATGGCCTGGCATCTCTGTCTCATGAGATTTTAGAATTTCATTTTTATTTTACCTAATAAAATGGGTTTTCTTTTGAAAAATGCTCTCATGTACTTTATCCAACACTGAACACACAATAGCCCTGTTAGACCAAATATATCAGGTTTGGGCTGGGCCCCAGCTTCTGCAGCCCATCTCCCCTCCTTCCTCCTTCCGTGTGCACAGCATCCACGTGACCCTCACAGACAAGGCCAGCCTGGCTGGGCTGAGCATCTTGTGGGCTGAGGAAGAAGGGATTAAAGGAGTTCTGGGCTCAAGTCAATGTGATGGCTGGTTTAACCCTGACCTTGTGTCTCAGTTCTCATAACCTCATTGCTAAAATAAGACTATTTTACCCACAAACGTAGCGACTGCTCCCTCTCTGGGTGACCTTCCTGGAACTCCTATCTCTTGGTTCAGCCCAAGGATTCTGCCTTGCTTTTTCCTATCTTCCTTCAGGAAACCAGAGCCCCACCCTGAATTCCAGCAAAGCCCTTCTATCTACAACCGCATTCCCTGAGGTCACACTGTGCTTGCCAGAGTTTGGGACCTGCTCTTCTTCAGTATTTCCCTTTGCAATGTCAGTCCTGATAGGACAGGTGCCTTCTGCTTCCCGCTGTGTGCAGTGACCCCCGCCCCCACAGTGGTCATTGCCAGTGGTGCTCTCACTTCCTAGCTCAGCTCTGCAGGGCTTTGGTCCCTTCGGCACCTATCCCACTGTTTGGGGGATATCCAGTGCAGGATCCTGGCTCTTCTAGTTCTCTACAACCAGCCAGACCATACCCCAGTCAGACTGCAGCCAAGCAACCTCTTCTGACTTCCTAGTCCAGGGCTCGTCACACTCCATCTAAGCCCTATACCTAGTAAATAAAACCAGCTGTTAACAAAGATCTGTGCACTCTGATTCAGCTGTGAAAAAATAACCGGTGATTAGACAGGGACTTTATTTTCATGACTTAAGGAACACTGTCATCCTCACTGTTATTCTCTCAGCTGCTCAAGAAACATCTATAATGAAGTTATTTTCTATCAATGAAACTCATACTGTCAACAGAGAGCATGCACCAAAGCCAAGTGTCCAGGATCCATAATGATTAGATCTGGGTACGCAGATCTGATCGGATCCCATGCACCTCCCCTTTGAGATCGGCCTGGATTCCTGTGGGGAAGGGCTCCTTTCAACTGCAGTTTCTCTGCTCAGCTTTAAGGGCCCCCGCTGCTGCCGCACCCCGGGGCTCCCCCTCCCCAGGTCATGCAAGCCATCGATCCACTCTTTGCAATACTGAGCCACCCTGTGTAAGCAAACAGGGTGCTTACACAGCTCAAAAGGAGCCCTATTTCCCAGCCACCTTACAATCCTCGTACCAGGAGGCTGTTGCAGTGTGCGCTGCCACATCTGCTGAGTCAGTGCTGAGGATGACAAGCCAGGCTGGACTTTTCCTTTTCTCTGTTCATGCTCTTTGACACAATTCGAAGACACGATAAGATGAGTGTCTCCTCCTGTGTGCTCGTTCCCTGCCACTGGCCCAGAACAAAAACCACTCAGCCATTTCCTTGAAAACTGCACAGTGGGCAGAAAGGCCAAGCTCGGAAAATGGGCCAGGGAACGGGAGTTGTCACGCCACTCCACCGGATGTCTCAGAGTCTGTAACCTAATACAAATCCCCATAATCTTAACACTTCATCTTACTTAGCAATAATACCCAGTGACAGGGATGCATGTGCAGATGGCTGGAGCTGCTGATAGGAGCTTTGAGTACAGGCTGTTCTGACAGTATCTGAGAAATACCGGAGGGTGGGGGAGATGGAGTAGGTGGAGAATGTTTGATGACGCAGATACAGACTTTTTTAAATCTAGAGAAGAGCACACTAATAAAATCACTATGTAAAACCTTCCCAAATAGAAAAAAAAAATAAAAAGAAAGAGGAGGAGAAGGAAACGGAGGAAGAGGAGGAGGGAAAGGAATGCAAAGTAGAAGGAAACAGGAGGCCTCCACAGTCCCTACAGAAAACACACGCATCACCACACTTCGTACTGCAGGTACTCTGTCTGGTTCTGGAGAGAAGGTCTACCGATGTTTTCTGAGTGCTCCACCTCCACTCGCCTCCTCTGCTTTGGTAGCTGCAGTCCCCATGCCCGTGCAGTGGCCAGAAGCAGTTCATTGAGACGCCATTCCCACCGAGGAGGATTTGGGGTCGGGGATACCAGGTCCAACTCCAGATGCTTTTTCCCCATTAGCTTAAAGTTGCTTGCCAGTCACTTGAGCGCTGCCAGAGCCTGGTAACTGAACACCCTCTGAGCCGGCCCAGGGCACTCCCAGACAGCCAATAGTGGTGGTAGTTTCCACCCACTACAAGGCAGACAGAGTGCTGAGAGCCAGGAGGGTCTGCGGTGATGGGATGAGGTCAAATGGGATTTGGCAGATATGGGGTGCCCCTACATCTGGCCAGTCCAGACAGATACAGCATTTCACAGCTCAAAGGTTGGGTGGGGGGTATGGAAATGTTCACATTTTCAAATCCCATGCTGACATTCACAAGGGAAACCCTGCTAGAGAAATGTGACCATTTGCAAACATAGGCTATAAAGGACTTGAGAAGTTGTTAAAAGAAAGGAAATTTTCCTTACAAAACATATGCTTTCAGGAATGTGATCGTGTAATCGAGCTACATTCAGTGAAAAATCAGGTCAAAAATAAAGACCTGAACTGGAAAGCTCCATGTTATAAAATAAATATCTAGCAGGCCAAGTAAAGGTTAACAAAGAGCAAAATATTCCTGGAGGAAAGGAAAAGAAATGAGGCTGTCAACTCCACCAGGAGCCAAACAGCTCCACAGAAGACAGTGAGTGTCCCCAGACTCAACAGGACTCCCGGGACCAGGATGCATTCCTTCCGTTCTCCCACCTCAGTGCACTCGGCTTTCTTTAAGGAGACGCCCCACACAATACACACAGTCACCTCAGGCTGGGCAAGGAGATAAAAGATACTTCTGTACAGAAACAATCCTCTTTTGCAAGTGCCAGTAAACTCAGCAATTCCTGAAGAAGAGCATTATCCTCCGGACAGGGATAACACAATCACAATAATGCTGCATTGTCTCCATGCTCATGAATACGCTTCCTTTTCTAGAATGTCAGCCTGCCTCTTTCCCAGCAGTCAAATCAACCCTGGGCTTTTTCAAAACTTCCTGACATGTTCCCATGAGGAAAATACCACTTTATGATCATTTCCACCTTGCTTTATATTTTATTATCTTTAGGAGTCAGCGTTATTTAATTTTGCTTCTATTCATCAGCCATCTCTTCTCCATTAGCCCTCACTGAGAACTCTGTGAATTGATAGGCTCAGAATCTGCTGTCTCTTCGTGCTCCATCATACAAGCCCATCAAGACAATGGGCATTCAAAGTATGTATTCTGGTTGAATGTTGAAAGTATAGCACATTAAAAATTATTACTACAAAGGTTTCTTTCATATACAGAAATATTGGGAAAAATATGGAAACTGCCCACCTCCATTTTGCACTCAGGAACCGGACTTCCTGTCCACTTCTTCACAGTCAACTATTTAAAGTTAGTCTTGGTAGGGTCCTTGTGGGTTAGTTTGACTCCTTTTCCATAGATCTTAACATGATGGAACTCGCTGGAACTCACCTTGTTCATTTCCATTCTTAGCACAAGTCTGGAACCCAGAAGTGCAGAATGTGTTCCAGCACTTGCGCTTTATCCTGCCTCTGCACTGCTCTCTGAGCACAGGCGTCTTGAGGACCCTCCTGGGCGCAGAAACTCCGGTCACCCACATCAGTTGCCCTCCATCCAGGCGTGTTGTCTTCCAGAATGCACTCACCCAGGCATGACACCCAAATACTTCTTCACTGACACTCTGCTGGATTATTTTCTCTATGAAGTGGGAAATAGGAAATGAAGGGGATCAGAATATGGCACCTCAAAATACACCATTTTGACATAAAGATTATTTCAAGCTGGAAACAATGGAGAAAAAGCAGATACAAAAAGAGCTCTCTGCTCTCTTCTTTTCTACTAACCATAGGACCCAAACTCCCCTTGTGAAGAGGCCCCCTACCCTCTCCCACCTGGGGAGAGGAGAACCCTGATCACCAAAGAAGAAGGCAGCACTTAAGTCAGTCTGCAGAAACAAACCTTGCGAAGCAAGCCTCATCTACCATTAGTTTTCCATATATTGAACTTAACACAAGTTACCATCTTTTAGTCTAGTCCCTTCTCCAGAATATATTGCCTTTTGTTAAAATGGCATGTGAGTCCCCCAAGTCCGACTACTTCTTTGAGCTTTCATTTCTTTTCTGTGGCACTCATGTGCAAACACAATTAAAAATAAGAATGGTGTGCCTTTTCTCTTGTGCCTAATCTGTTTCCTGTCAGCTTAATGTACATGTCCCAGGCCCAGAGCCTAGGAAGGTAGAGGAGTTCTCCCTCCCCTACAGAAATAAGATGAAAAATATGTTCATCTAATTTTTGTTCCTCAGGCGTGGATCCAGTTCAGAACTTTACATTTGCCATGATGACAGAACACAGGAACAAAGTAAAGAAAATAAGAAACAATGGCTTCTGGGTTTAAGAGCCAGAAGCAGAAACTGTGAATGACATGTCCATGTTCTGGCTCCAGGGACCTTTCTGGCCCATGAAGTCACCTCCTCGTTCAGTGGCCAGACCGTCCCTCTAGAAGGCTTCATTTTATAACATATACATTTATTGCTTTAGTAAGCTTAATATGAAATACTTGAGTGGGTACTTTCCTGATTTTAAAAGTCCTGCAAAAATGTTAGTTTATGCTCCTAATCTGACTTTTTTCTTACTAGATTGATTTATTGGTACTTACTCTCTCTCTAAGTTTTCAATTTCAAGGGTTTGTGGGGTTTTTGTTTTGTTTTGTTTTCATTTTTTTCCCTGCTCCAGAGCCCAGGCACACATGTTAGAAAGCATTACAGAAACTCGAATGTTCATTCAAGGGCTATAAGGCAGCAGTAAGGCAGCCACGGCTTTCCAGTCACTCAGTGAAACCTCAGGACATGGAGGCACATTTCCTGAATTCTGAACACGGTGTTCTTGAATGACAGGCTGGGCCAGGTGGCCCCTGCTTGAGCGGTGGTCTGAGGCCCTGGCTTCGGTCCCCATCACTTGGGCCACAACTCTTGACCAAGAATCAAGCACCTGGCACCAGCTTTTGCATTGTCTGACAAGCCAGGACACCGGGCTTCTGTATTCTTGTTTCAGGGACAAAAGGGCCAGCCCAGAACTCAGTGAAGACTAACATCTTTATCACAGCTTGGTTTCAGCCTCATTGCAAACAAGCATGTTATTTCTCCAGGACACAAGACAGTTCATGTGAAGTCACACAGTGATTTGTATTTTTCCTAAATTCACCACCGCAAACCTTTGTTCAGTCTTGACACGGTCAGAGGCACCGATCCACACTCTGTAGGGATAAAAGAAATGCTGACAGGCATCTAATATGAAAGCCATTCCCTGACTTCAAGGAGCTTGCACTCTGGAAAATTTTCCAAGCACTGCCTCTGAAGCACAGAGATGACTCACATATGTTTCAAAACATATAAATCACCAAAAAGGAAAAACAGGACTGCGCCACCTTAAGATCCAAGAGAGATTGAAAATTAAATGTCGCTTTCTGTATGGTTGACCTCTAAGGCAAGAAGAATAGAACATAAAAAGCTATCTATTGCTGCCAAGATTTGAATCATTTTTCCAAAATGGGTTTGCCAAGACCAAAGGAGGGGTTTTTTGCAGTGAAGGGGAGGTGAATGAGAGGGAGAACGTGTTGAAGAGTCCCAAGTAATCGCAGTTATTTAGGTCTCTGCAGTTGCCCGGCCCTCTCTGCTCGTGAGAGCCCAGCAGTTGAGAGGTGGAAAGGCAAGGCTCACCTCACTGCGCCCAGGATGGCACGGTCTTTCTACAGACAATGCTGCCGTGCGAAGCTTCCTGGAGAGTGAGGAGTCTGATCTGAAGCAAGGTTTCCACTACTTATCATTTTTGACAGTTACAAGAAATCAAGAAAAAAGATTTTCTTGTCTTATCATTTCTAACCTTAAAGTTCAGGGAGTTAGTCTTTCTCAAGATTAGGACGCACTGAATACATCCTGAGGAAAGGGTGCAGCACACTTTCTGCGAACACCTTCCGATGTGAACTCTCTCCCTTTCTCTAGGATATCAGAGGAGGGGCCGGAATGGGGAGGAGAGTTCAGTCATCTCAGCTCTGAGCAGATGCTTCACCCGCGACGGGGCAGTGGCCATCCGGATGGCAGAACTCAGTCTGACCGCAGGCTGCTTCGGCAGCCCAAGTCCCAGCCAGTGGTCATGGAGCCCAGAGAGCTATAAGTAGTCCCCCAGAACTGCCTTCTGGTGACTTGTTACTACCAAGTGGGAGCGTGCATTTCCCGAGAGATACCTAAAGTGAGTGAAAAAAAGGCTCCAAAGCATGTCTTTTGCTGAACTCGAAACATTGGAAAAACAGTTGA